TCCATTAGTGAGATAGATGAACGATGCAATGCTTCAATAATGTGCATACTCTCATTGAATACTGGTTCGAAAGAGTTGAACAACTCTCGTCGATGGCACGATTGTGAACATAACTTTATATAAACTTAAAGGTAACACAGAACAACTCATAAATTTCTTGGCAGTCTTATAATGGCTCTTATGTATTCTTCGCAAATTCTAGAAGTTGAGTGCAGTTACCGATAATGGATGAAATAAAACTGAAATCATCGAAGGAATCGAAAGTTCAATTTCAGATCCTAAACGAATCAATTAGTTCACAATTGCTCTGTTAGGTGATTATCGATTTGCGCACAACATTTCGAAGAATTTCGAAGCTACAAACCTTGATCACTATGCAGAGAGTGCCAACCGCTTGTGCACAATAGCCAATCGTAAGAGGAATCTGAAATGGGCGTAGTGCATTAAAGGCGAAATCAAAGCCACATAATGAATTACACCGATAATCCATCAACATTTTTCTACATTTTCTCAAGTTGATTCATTCAAACTGTCCAGTTTGTTGATCATTAAAACGTTACCTGAAAGGTGTTGAGAGCGATTGATAAAGTTGTAGAAACTCATCGTGAGAAACCTTCAAAAAATTGACTAAATTATGAGCGCAACTAAACCTCAACAGGCGAGTTCGGTGTTTCCGTTGTGTGCAATGAAGCGATATCAACACAGAGCTCATCGCTGTCGATGAGTTTGTTTTGTGAATTCAAAAAGAGCAATGGTGAAGATTTCGACTGTGCCGTCGTTATTGATGTTGATGTTGACGTTGCCGTTTGCACCGAGGACGGAACATCTTCTTTACACGATTCCGCATACCATTCCACTCTGAATTAATACTTTCTTCTTTTCAAAGAAAAAAAAAACGCAACAAAAATTCAAAGGAAAAACGAACGACGAATTGATCGATATAAAAATTATTCTACTAACCACAGCCTACACAGGAAAAGTTCAGGCAAAGAGGAAAGTATTGCTAACGATAAGCTCACTATCAAATCATCATAATTTAAAATGCTTACTCAATACGAATTATACAATTCAACTCAAGCACTTATGATTCAATGTTGCTGATTGAGAAGCACCAAAAAGTACACAACGTATCAATTCAGATCCTTGTTAACGAATTTTATTCACCTCACCTCAAGCGTTCAGGTAACACTTCGTTCTCGTCACAAACCAATTTCAAAGAAAGATTCGCCACCTGTCCCAACAGAGCATCTCCCTTCAGATCGCCTTCTAACCGTACACTCGCCTCTCGAGGATACACTCTGAATTCACCGTAAATAATTTCCATTGCAGATCGATTAATGATCACAGTGTAAGATAACGAATCGACAACAGAAATGATGATAACAATTCTCATCTCTTTATTCTTCTGTTGATGTTAATCAATCAACCCTTACTTAATTGACGGCATTCCAATGCGCGAGTCCAACATCGAAGTTCTATAAGCAGATTCTGGGACACCCATCGTTAACGATGTAAATTCCCAATCCAATGTTCCATAAACACACGAATGCAATGAGCCAAATTCCAAGTTCAATCCGCTCACCTGACAATATCGCGTAATCTCAGCACCTATACGCTCATCATTTAAAGAAAATATTCGTAATGACAGCAACCAAATTCCAACAAAATCAGTACAAGTTATGAAATGATCTTGAAAAAAATAAATAAATAAAAACGAGAACAAAATTCACATTAAGTAACTAATCGCTCAAAAACACCAACCACAATTAATTTCGTTTCAAGAAATTCGTTGACATCCAAGTTGAGTTCATAAAAGAAATTCGTCTCACAATTCGGCTTCAACTCGATATTCTCAGAAAGGAATTCGAACATCGGCAATCGCTCGGCATTTGTGGTTGTCGTTGACGCATCACTGACATTCACACGTAAACGCTCGAAGTGCATCGCTACACACGCACACGAATAAAGAGACACCTCAAATGCAACGATCACATAGAATGAGAATGAGTGCCTTTCAATGATTTCACTGCGAAAAAAATTTCAATGATTCAGTGCCTTTCAATGACTTCAATAAAAATCAGACTCTAGCAATAAATAAGAAGGTAATTTGCATGTATCAACCATCAAAACGATACGCTCTTCAATGAAAATGAAACCTTAAGAATCAGCGTTGATCCAGAGGCAATCGCCTGCTCGGTGCATAAAAACGAAGCATGTGCACGAACGAAGGCATCAATACGTGGTGCACTCAACGAAAAGAACACACGCTCTGAGAAGACGTTCATCCATTGTTGTTGGCAAGCAATTAACTGAAATTCACGCGAAACTGAATGGTTCAAACTTTTCCGAAACAATTTTCACTAAGTACTTCTTCAATTCAAGCAGAAAAACACCGAATTTAACCATATTATTGCCTGAACTTTCTTCACATCTTTTGCAAAAGGCCACAAACGATTGTGGCATGGAAAAATGCGAAAACGCCACAGCTCATTATCCAACAATGGACAAAACTGACTTGTGCATCAGAGAGTTGGAATGAGGGTAATGGTGAGAGTGGTGGTTGTGCGTTTCGTATTCGGTTGATGTTCATGGCGATGTGTGCGGAAATTGATTCGAATGATGGAAACGAATGAATGTTGAGAATCTGTACACTCGACGAGACGAACTCTTTCAGATCAGCCACGAAAAACGACGACATCAGCGATCGCGAGAGCAGCAGTGAAATCGGCAGAGTGAACTTCTCAATACGACACTCCCATAAAACGTGCGAAATGAACTGAAATCATTCGACAAGAGTTCATATTACGTGATGCTGATGAGGAAAGTTTTGACAGACAACACACCTGATAACGAAATTACCCAAATAAATTTGTATGCGATGAAGTGAAATGAGCGACCGAATCAATAGATCAGTGGATCAGTCAAACCATAATCGAACAGTGTGAATGAACCCACTTGCAAGGCTTTCGAGTGATGATTCAACGCAGCGTATTCATCAGCCATCAGCAACATTATGTGTCGTTGCATTCGAACGCATTTGTATTTTTTGAACTGCGACATTGCGGATGAAAGCAATGCTAAACATCGTTTATGGTTCGGCATACAACGTTGCTGCAATCACCAACTTCATCGTACTATGAACGTTCTTATGGCATGCACAAACCAATCGAGTCATCTCATTAGCTCAATAAAAATCAAAACGCTCTCATATCAAGTGGTGGGAAAAGAATCACTGGATGCAAAGAGTACCTCAAGAGTGATTCTCGCATTGTTCTCAGTGATCGAATCGGCTAGACCTCCGCCACTTTCGGTTGACACTCGCCATGGACGTTGTCCATAGAAGACGACGGTTGGCCATGACGATTGTTGTGACTGCAGTGGATCGGGTTGAGGCGAAATCAGATGATCGGCAACCGACGACGATAACGAAAGCGCAGATCGCATTGAATCGATCAGCTCATTTGCTAGCCTCAGATGATCGGCAGATGCGTGCAGATGAATGCCAGGGTGTTGTGTCGACATCGCGGCTAGTCCATTCACAACGGCACGTTCGAATAAGTCCGCAAACATTGAACACTGCAATAGAATACATCCTATCGCATCATTATCATCATCATCATCACCAATCTCAGAGTGCATTCAACGAGACCAACTCGACTAAAGTCTCATGCAAAGTCAAATGAAAACGCTTCT